GAACACTTGCCTACCATACATGAGCAGAGTTTGTCCCAGCACCGAAGGCGGAAAAAAAAAAGGAAGGCAATTGCTCAGTGATATCCAGTATGTAAATATGAATGACAATCTTTTTCTCATTGTCTTCAAGAACAAGGTTGATGCACATTTACTCACGTGCTCTCAACAGGTTAAATGTCTGTCTGCTCAACACCAAGGCTCACTGAGAACAGTTGTCCTAAGTCAGTGGTGAACCTACAACACACATACCGTTTTTCCTTTAAAGCAAAAGACAATGTATGAATTATTTTTTTATAAACCAAAACTCAGTTTTCAGGTTTAATTGCATTGTTGGCATTTTGCAACAAATAAGCAAGTTTTAGGTTGCAGTTTGGACACTCGATCTCAAAGGTTTGCCATCGCTGTGTAGAGTGAGCAGTTTGGAAGGTGCTAGTGTCACAAAAAGGAAAAGACAGTGAAAGCTGTCTGAACAGTCAGAATTTTAGGCAACTGCAGAGATGACATCCCTTCCAATAACACACTTTCAGCCATGGTGTTCAGACAGACATAGGTGAGGGTACAAAGCTTTCTGTAATACCAGCTCTTCCTCATGTACTTGTAACTTTCAAAGTATCAGTTATAATTTTATGTTGTTTTAAAGTAAGAGAATGGTTGGGTCTTTTAGAACCAGAAATCACTCTCCACATGGAACAGCATTGGTTGCCTCTGACAGTGGGTGAATAGGAAGCTCAGACACTCACTTCTCCTTCCCCCATCTCCTTCCCCCATCCCCGTAGCACCTCACAGGATGCATGGTGGGCAGTACGGTCTCCTCCCACTCATGGTTTTTATAGTATTCTAGTACTTGCTGACAAGTAGTCCTAAAAGTTTCTGTATTACTTTTAAAAGGAGGTCAGAATAGGCACTTAATCTTTTTTAATCCTTCAACAAAAAATAAGTTTGCATTAATACTAGCAGCTTTATTTAAAAAAGTAGATCATGGTTTGTAAATGCTAGATATTTCAGTTTTATAAAGTGTTTATATACTGTTAGATACACACTGTTGGGCTGGGAATTTAGCTCAGCGGCACCGAGCCTGCCTTGAAAGCACAAGGTCCTGAGTTTGATCCCTGGCACACACAAAAAAGATACTGTTACATGATTTTTGTGACACTGTACTTAGCATATCCCTGCCCTCCGCTAATGAAATACAGTGGTATCTCGGTTCACTAACTTAATTCGTTCCATGATTCTGGAAAAGATGACCACGTTTGTGTTCATGCAGGAAAGATGGCTGCAGTGTGTTTGCCACCTGGTGCCAAGTTCACAAACAGAAACAAAATTTTGCCAAATGCTTCTGTTGGCAAACCAAACTAGGCAAACAAAAGCATTTGTGAACCGAGGTACCATTTGTACTAAATTACAGGATGCAGGACTTTCTGAAGACGTGACTTAGATTGACACTGTTTAGAATACCAACTTACTCTAGACAGGCAGTGCTGTTTGCTTCCGTGTAAAATCTTCCCTGGGAAGTAACTACTTTAAGTGGTGGGTGACCCAGGCTGTTCTGTGTATGGAGAGGCAGGGATGTTAGGCAGAAACACAGTCATGATTCATTTCAAACTTGAGGTTCTGGTTTTAAATACCTTCAAAGTAAGAGAAGTAGACTTGTTTTTCTGAGGAGTTAATGCCCAGAAGTCAGTTATTCCTGATGACCAGGAGAGGAAGTGTCAGGGCTGCAGCAGACTACACATACCGGACTCATCAGTACAAGTCCTTCTCCCTTGCCCAAAATGAGATTCCAAGAGAGGGGAATGATGCTGTAGATTGTAGAGCCTGATCTGTTCTGTGAAAAATCAAAGCATTTGAGTTTTATGTCTCCAGGGTCTACCTAATGGAGCTTTAGAATGGCACTTAGGGTCAAAGTAGTCTTATTTCGTAACATTTTAGTGAAAGATAAAGAGCAGTTGTCTAGAACATGCCCTCACTGACTAAGAGACAAGTTTTGCCCCTATGGTTTCAAACATACAGCTTCCAACAGATTGTTTAAAAAGCTCTTTAAGCCGATCCCGAGTTCAATCCATGGTACAAAAAAAAAAAAAAAAAAGCTATTTAAAAATAAAGGTCATGATTAACTGGTTGGAGATTACAAAAATAATCAGGATTTGTCTTCTGACTTTTGACTTTAGCACCAGGGGTATAATGTCCTCTTGGGGTCCTTGACCACTCACTGAGCTAGGAAAGGTAGTCTTGCTATAGTCCTGAGATAAGGGATATTTTATTTGAGCTGAAAAAAGTATGCACAGTCACTTTGAATATAGCAGAGGAGATTTAATAGTTTAAGGCAGCTACACTGTTAACACGGTCCACCTGTTATCACTGAACTGTATACTTGGTGTCCTCATGGAAGGAAGTACCAGACTTTTGGCAAATGTCAAAATCTTTGAAACCAAATATCTGGACTTAAAAAAATACTAAAGAGTCAGTTACTTTATAAACTTATGAAAACCTATTTCATTTTGACTTTCAACACGAATTAGTTTTCTAGATGTCAACTGTATTTCAGGAGTCTGCCAACGTGGAACGAGTCTAAATGACTCTCAGAGGTAAGGATTTGAGGACTATTTCAGTCCAAAAGCTTTAAAAAAAAAACTATCAGACCATATATCCTATAGTTTTAAAGTGAATTATGCATAAAAGTCTGTGCAAACTACAGTGTACATTGTAACATTCTTGAAGAAAAAACCCTAGTATACTTTAGCATTATTTAAGTTACATAAAATACATCTTTATAAAAGTACAGATCTTCTTTAAAAAGTTTAAATTATACCCAGTGAAATTACTTACTAGTACTAAAATAAGGATCTATGAATCTTAATTATTGCTTAGTCCTCCGAACCTGTAAGAAAACTCAAGTCCCGTATCTTAAAGAAAAGCACCCTAAACACCCCACCATCTTGCAGTCTGTCTCTGTGGCTTTCCACTAGGCATCTTCACTCAGCCAACTGATGCTACCCATGGCTTGGTTTGTCGGGATCCAAAGTTGAGTCTTGCTGTTGCTGCAAAGCTCCTGCTTGTGCTAGGAAGCTGTTTGTTTGTTGTCCCCAATCATAGTAGTCTGGAGCAAAGCTTTAAAAAAAAAAAAAAATTCAGTGGTTTGAAAGCTCCTACTTTATAGGTATGGGAGACAGAGGTGGAAACTGGTAATAAACTCTAGACAATCTCCAAATTCTTTAAATTGTTTTTTGTTTCATGTGTGTGGTGCTGGGGATGGAACCCAGGGCTCTGTGCAAGTTAGGCAGATGCTGTACCACTGATCAACACCTCTCTAGTCCCTAAATTAACTCCCTGAAGCCTGCTTTTACCCAAAACAGTGCTGTGCACAGTGCTGGCAGCCTGCCCGCAACATTTTTTATGCATTGGAGCCCAGAAGTCTGGCTGTACTAGAACCTGAAAGCAGACACAATCTGCAACACATTTTCTAACAACAAATTGTGTTTCAATCCTGATGTGGAGTATAGCTCACTACTATTACTATGTTGATAGCTCTATAAACTGGGAGGCAACACCTACCGAGTCCTCAGAACAGTGTCTAATACACACTATGTAAGCTGTTTTGATCATTGTTTTCCTTTAAACTACAGTGAAAAGTAGACTTTTCCCCAAGTGAGGATGTCTTCAGCTCTGCGATGCTTCTGCCAGGTCGGAGCGCTAAGGCTGCTCCAGCAGCAAATGGGTTTAAAGAGACAAGCAGAGTTAACAGGGTGAGTAGAGTTTTAGGGAAGAAGTGGTACTCAGAAGTCCTTAAATTTATCAGCCGTCTTTTAAATCTGCAGGCCTAGGCATTAGTCTGCTTTCCTTAGTTCTCCTGTCCCCAAAACAGAACCCTCTTCAGAACTCGAAGTTTTTAAAGGAAACCTTTTTGTCTGTGTTATTAATAAGGAAAGACACTGAAATGCTAATGTAAGCCTTTAAACTCCCAAAGGAGTGCACAAAGCCAAGCCTTCCCTTCTGTGGGGGGTGGGAGGGGTTTGGAAGGGTCTGGGATGAGTCCTGTAGGCTCAGGAGGCATTGAGGCCGTCCTTTTGGCTCCTCTTGCAGCTGCTGGCTCAGATCCATGGTTGTAAGGACACAATGATGGGTGGGCAGAAAGCAATGCACCTTACAGGTTAGGTTAAGGACAGGGGACTGGGTCCCCATGGCTGCCACCAGCACCATCCGGGCTGCAGACTGGCCCGGGCCAGGCACTCAAGTGCTCAAGATGCTTGCTTTCCCTGATCACTGGAAGTTAGGTGGTACCAGCTCATTCACTGTCTTGCAGGCTCCGTGTGTGCTGCTGTGGGCTCTGTTAAATTTAACTGCCCTCTCCAAAGTTTTCTGGGCCCAATCTGCAGGTGGATTTCAAAAACAGCAACTTTTTGTTACAGTGCATGTGAAAGCACAGAACAGACATAGATGAGACAAGGAAATGGGTGCTAGGATACATACAAACTGTCTGCATAGTTAGTGACTCGGAGCTCAATCCAATGAGACTGGGCAATCACCCCACATCAGATACCTTAGTTTCATCGGAATAAGGCGGCTTATGATAGTACTGACCTCACAGGATTGCAATTGAGTACCATTTAATCGATCAGAACATCAGACTAGAGAAGTCTGCCTGATTTCCCAAATCATGTTCCACTAAGTGATTCCATGATCAAGTCTCTTGGACATTCAGTTATCTTAGCACACTACAGACAGAAACTCTGCAATGTAAGCTGATTTTCTTTTATTTTTTGGGTGTTTTTGGTACTGCAGGTTGAACTCGGACCTCATGCTTCAGAGGCAGAATGCAGTACCACTGAGCTAAGTCCCTGGCCCAAGCTGATTTTCTTTTTTAAACCTTCATTTCTCATCATGTGTATGGCACAGCTATTAAAGAAACTGTCACTATGAATTTTTTAGGAAACACTGCTCTATATTACAATGCCGCGGGGCTTTTTTTGTGTCAGTCTTTTCTCATTATTAGTCCTCCCTAGCCTACAGGTGCAGCCCTTTCCTCCACAAGGCCCCTCCAGGTTAACAGTCTTACCTTCCCTGAAGTCCCTGAGGGGCAATGTTCCAGGCAAGGTCATCGTCGCTATCATATCTTCGAGGGTTGTCAAAGAAGTACGATCTGGGACTGAATCCGTGGCTGGGGACTATCCCAGGACTGGTCTGGAAAGACAGGTGAGCACTGGGCATACTTCCAGGCACTTTGCCTTGCCACAGAGACTAAAAACGTCCTCCCCACCTGGACAGAATTTGCTGCTTTCACCTGGAGTGTTCTTTTGTTTTAACAGGATTACCCTCTCTTCCAGTCTTGCTTGCAACAACAAATCATTTTAATTCTTCACTGAAAGATTCCCAAATTAGGCAAAGTAAAGTAGATAGTGCAGTGTGAGCATTTATAACAAAAAAAATTTAAAGGTGATATCACTTGGGGAGCTGCCTGTTTTCAGATCCTAGCTCTGTAATTGTTTAACGCTGTGTCTGCCCCCTCAAAAATTTCCAAGGTACAGTGCTTGGATTTCCTCCTGGGCCACGGCTCATCTCTGCTGGGGGGCCGCAGGCCAGGCTGTGCCCCACCCCCACTGGTCCAGTCTCATCACTTTCTATTCCTGCCTCAGTAGTGACTACCCAGAGAAGAAGAAGAAAACAAGATAAAACAGCATGCCCACATTAGCTGGGTGTAAACTAAGAACTGCGACTTGTTTGGCAGCTCCTCATATGCTTCCCACACTGCCCGTGTGGGCCAAAATTCACCAAATTCACCAACTCCTTTGGTAGCTCACACATCAGTCAAAATTCTTCCACCAGTTTGTGTGGCTAGAATTCTCTGTAGCGCAACTCCCAGGAGTTTTTGCACTCTGGCTGCTTTTGCATATCCTGTCCTGCTCCTGTAAATCATTTAGGGAAATGACTGAGCTGAATTCAGGTAATAGGAGAAGGTTTGAAACACCAAACAGCGGAGAGAATTTACCGCACTCTCCCCAGTACTATTTTTACTTCCTTGTCATCCCATTCACCACCCAGCATGCTATAGGGGCAGAGAACTAAATTACCATTCTCCACTGTTCTTTGCTAGAAGAAAACCTTATCTACTTGGTGCACAGTAAGCTGAGCCTCAAATACTAGTGAGGCTGTTCCATTAACTGTTTAACAATAAAGTGGTTAATTATTTTCCCCAGGCCCGAAGATGCATTTTACTTTCATTTCTTTTGTAAAATAAAGCTAAACCAAAAAACATTTCTCTGAAAAGAGAATTATGGAGAAGAAAAGTTTGAATAAAATAGTCAAGGGACTTCTATATCACAGTGGCCCGAAAGAGGCTCTCTCCTATATAGAAAAGCTAGAAAACACATTCTAATTGTAGGTTGCAAGAGTACAAGTGGATGGTGTTTTATGCAAATATAAAATGGTATACTTACAAGGTCCTTTGTGGGATTTCTAACTCGGAAGAAGTAAACTACCAAGGTGGTCGGCAACAGTTCCCACACAAAAAGCACCACTCCAAATACAACATAGCCAGCGTCTCCCAGCTGATTCTTTAGATCTGCCTGTTAGCAAAAAGGAGAAACAAAGCTCTAGGATGAAGGCAGAGAAAATGTTTGACTGGATTCTGCTTGACATGGACAGAATCTTAACACAGTATAATTTTCCCCTAAAATGTGATAACGAAATCCTGTATAATGGGTCAATCTAGACAATTATTTAAACCAGCATTCAGATAAGAACTCTCTATCTCTGATATTTTACTATTTCATTCCTCCAACTCTTGCCTGTGTACAAATGTACTCATTCACTTAGATCTGAACTGAATTTTTCATCAATAACTGAAGACAGACTGTAAGGGTGTCTCCTTGATTCTCCACAGCAGCACGTGACTCTAAACCACATCGTGTTTTCAACCTTATACCTCCAGTTGGTTAAAGTTTCTAGGAAAAGTCCTTAGAGCCCTGGACATTTGACTTCCAGCTCAGAGATGGCAAGGGGGCCTGGCCTGGTGACCCTTCTCTCCCTTCAGCAGACAAGAGGGGAGGTGGGTATGGGCATGCCTTGGGAAAACAGGATTTCATTAAAAAAAAAGGGGGGGGCAGCAAAACCAAGTCAGAGGATCAGTCTCCTACACTTAATGTGCCTTCTGTTGTAAGGAAAGGGCAGAAGTGCACTCCTTGTCCCCTTTCCAAGTGATTCCTCACACTTCACATCCCACATTTCACCTGTGCTCCGGCCCACATGCACCTGTGGCCATCTGTCCTGCCTGCTCCTCCATTATTCCAGTTGTGACATATATATACATACATACACACACACATACACATACACACAGACGTACATATCCAATTTTAAAAAAAGTAAAACTGACCCTATTCTAAATCCATGGCTATTATAAACTTGTTAAAACCAAAATGGTTAATGGACTTCAGTTAGGGAGGATGGACGATGCACAACACTGAGTGTACTTTACCACCACTAAATTGCACCTGTAATTATGACTCTCATAGTAAATCTTAAGTATAGCGTATTTCAGTGTTTTTAAATCCTGTGTATTCTGAAGATGTCTCTAGTTGGTCAGTGTTTAAAGTTCAGAGTATGTACATAGGTATTTTTACCAGGCACACATTGGCCAGGCCTTGCCCAGCTTTTGCCTCAAGCCTGAGCTAGTGGCATTGGGGGGGGGGCTGCTGCAGCGTTTCATCCTCCCCTTATCTGTGCCTCTTATGAAGTCACCTTGTCCTCACTGTTTTAGCTCACTGGGGTCATTTTATTCCTTCTACTACCTGAATTCAGCTCAAGTTTTGGGCACAATGGAAATTTTAGAAGTAGATATATATAGCTGAGGATTCATTTTTCCCAGGGAAAGTTGGAAGGAGCCTGTGCAAAAATCTATCTACTAGAAAGGTACATTTCTCTTCTGGAATGGCTTATCTGTCTTGTCTCTGCCTCGTTGCAGCATGGACTTCCACGGGCAGGGATGAGGGAGCTATCCATTTTTTATATCCCCAGAACACTGTAGTCTTGGGCTTAAAAAA